TTGATTTCATAGTCGATTTATGAAAATTTTAATTTAATTCTCCATGAATTCAATTCAAATTGACTAGCTAGAATGAATGATGCAGATTTCATAAATTAATCTAATTATAATTAAAATTTGAACTAAAATAACAATTTAAATATTGAAAAGACCATAGTATCCTTCTTATCTTATGAAGGAGCAATTGCTTACTCAACTGGTAACTTAGTAAATTTGTTAATTGTATTATCAATTTAATTTAGAAAAAAAAAATTATTTTCTTTCTCTTTCATTTTTCATCACATTTTTCTGAGAAGATTCTCTCCCCAAATCTTGAGAAAATTCACACCCAAAATTCTTCAAATCCAGATAGCAAGTAATGGTTTTACAGTAAATTTATTTTGAAAGAAACTCATGAACACTTCCAGAAGAGCAAACAACATGTTCCTACCCAACGTTTAGCGAAATAGTAGTGCCCACCCCTGGTTTCATAAATTCTAGATTCACACCCTTAAAGTAACATCATTAGCAATTTTGAGGTTTCAACATAGATGCAGAAGGTAAATTACCATACTACCCTTGACAAATAAATTAATAAATTACTTTTTAACCCTCAAATTAGTAGAATTAAAAATGACCATCTTACTATAAAATTTATTTCAATTACACCTTCTTCTTCAACATTCACATCATCCTCATCTCCAACCACCCAAACATTGCCACTGCCACCACCACCTAGCCACTGCTCCCACCGCCACCTAGTGACTACCACCATACAACCTTTTTTTTTTTTTTTTTTTTAAATCTACTATTTTTCATTTATAAAAAAATTAAAATAAATGAAAAAACAAAAATCAACAAAATCCACCATCATCGTCAGCCAACAAACTGCACAAACAACAGAGATGCTACTGTCTATGCACAAATGTTATGCTGCATATAGATGCTATTGTGCGTGCAAGTGCGCGCGATAAAGAGGTTGGGTGCATTACTGGTCCTAGGATGAGTGTTGGCAAGATGACTTAGGCTCCGTTTGGTTCACTTTTTTGCATTTTTTAGAAAAGATCTTTGAAAAAAGTAAAAAAAAGTTGAATTGGGCGGGTATTACTATGTAGGATTTAGAAATTAATAAAAATACCCCCTATGTTTATTTATTTACTAAACACCCCTATAATAAAACTTTGAAAGTTAACAAAAACACCCCCAACCCACCCGTTGAATAATCACAGCTAGCCACCACCGCCAGAGTGTGGCTGGAGTCGTCGTATCTGCACATGATCGGCTGGATCTTATTGGTCGTGCACCGATATGGCCTTTGCTGGCCAGATCTACGGCTAGATTTGGCCATTGACGGCCAAATCTGGCCGCATTTGCTCGTCAACGACGGCCAAAGATACGACCGTCGTTGATGGTCAACGACGACCATATGTTGGCCGTCGTCGACGTCTGGTGACGACCAAAGATCGGGCCGTCAAGGGCCAAATCTTTGTCCTTAGATTTGGCCGAAAAGGGCTAGATCGGCACACTGCCGGCCAGATTCATAGGGTAGTGCACCATTATATCATATTCGAGTCAACTTCCGGCAGTGGTGGCTGAAATTTGGTATAATGTGGGTTTAGGGGTGTTTTTGTAATTTTGAAAAAAATATTTAGGGGTATTTATTTAAATTAACAAATTTAGGGGGTTTAAAAAAAATTGAATAATATTGGATAATATTGTGAGTTTTTGGGCATTTTACTGTTTAACTTTTTTGGGAATACTAATAATAGTATTCCCAAAAACCAACCAAACGGAGCCTTAGGCTTTTCGTCGAGTAGGTGGAGGGCCAACTTCACAACCCTGATTTTCAACGTTGAAAATGATTCATAAACCCAAAAAAACAACACAAATCACTCTGAAAAAAGTCCCAACCAATCTCCAAAGCACAATCTCATTCCAATTCCTTAGAAACAACCTCCAATTGAACCCAATCAAATCAAAAAATACACCAAAATCGCGAACCCTAGGGAGAGAGGAATTCAGTGAATGGTGAGCAATCGATGAGGGGGATGTTGGGGGGTTTTGGAGGTGGGAGGCCAATGAGTTGAATGGTGGTCTCGGGAGGGATTTCCGGTGGCGACGACGACATTGTAAAGTGTAGAGGGGTGTAGATGATAGGGTTTTGATGATTGAGGTGAGGAGATGTTGGGGTTATTTCATATTTTAATTTCAAATTATAATAAATGACCATTTTACCTTTTAACTGTTAAATGAATCCAAACAATGTTAATCTAAGGGTGAGAATTTGAAATATACGAAACTGAGGATCAAAACTTGCCATTTCGCTGATGTTTGGGTCAGAACATGTCGTTTACTCCTTCTAGAAAATTCAATCCATTCAACATGAACCTCCCATCTAATCCCCAAACAACTTCCTTCCAATAAGCACAACTAGAAACTGAACATTCTGATCATTCCCATTACCCTTTTTGTTAAACTCAGTTCAGCTAAAACACCAACTTCATCTTCTTCGTCAACTTCATAAACTACAGATTAGCACTAAGACCTAAATGCAAAAACCCATTATGAAAAAACCAAGAACACAAGACAACCCATTTTCTTTTTAAAAAAAAAAAATCTTCGACCAACAAGAAAATCGTCGATGGGCCAGTCGCTGCCACCAATGCATGGATCAGGCGACATTTGTTTTAGTTTGTAGGGAGATGACAAGAGAGAGAAGAAAAGAGAGAGAATGAAGGAGAGAGGGAAAAAAATTTAGGGTGTGTTTGGTTGGGGGTAATCCCCCGTTACTAAGGTAATGTCATTTTATATTACTTTATTACCACGTTTGATTGTCAAGTAATATAAGATTCTAGTAATCTTCTAAAACCAATAGTGATTACTGTTGGTAATATAGAAGATAATATGATTATCTCCATTTTTTTATATATTTTAAGATTACTTGGTAATCTTAATTTTGTTATAATTTACCCCTTATAAATAAAATTTTAGGACAATAATGCCCTTCTTATCTAAACAATTTACAAAAATAATTATGGACAATTTTAACCTCATACTTAGGATTTTTAAGACAAAAATACCCTTGTACTTCAACCAAATTACCCAAGACCACAGCCAACCCCAACCACCCAAACAGACTACTGGCCGCCGCCAGAAGTCACCAGAACGGTGCACGATCAACCAGATCTGGCTAGTCGTGTACCGATAAGGTTGTTTCCGGCCATGGATCGTTACAACCAAAGATGTGGCCGTGAAACAGACACAAATCTGATCGTGAAATGGCCAAAGATCTGGTTGATTGTGTAGCATTACAGCGACTGCCGACGGTGGTGGCTAGCTGTCGACAATGACTTGGGGTGGGTGGGGGTGATTTTGTTACAAATTAAAATTTTATATGGCTGAGGTGTTTTAGCAAAATTTCAAATGTATGGGGATAAAAGAAATTATTCAAAAAATAATAATAAAAATAATATTATATTAATATTTAAAGAGGACAGCAATTTAATAATTTATATAACATATCCACAATTTTATTCCAACCTAATCAAACATATTTTCCTAAACATTCCCAGTTATTTTCAAGGTAATCTATCTTTCTATTAATATAATATTCTCAGTAATGCAACATTTTCTAAACCAAACGTACCCTTAGGGTTTTTTATTTCATCAAAAGACAAGAATACCCTTTATTAAGGATATTAGACATTTATTATAGTAAATGATTAAAATACCCACCCATTAGTTGACTTTCATTAACTTTTTTAACTCTATTTTAACTGTAAGTGGTTATTTTATACTTTGCGAATAAGCTGGGTCTGCCTAAAATTGCCTAAAATTAGCTGATGTCTTAAGGGGATGGATAATAGAACCCCAAATAATATGTCATCTTATTTACAATTATTCTATCATTATTATATCAATATCACTTGGAATAAGAATTTGGGAATAATTTATAGGATATATGGCATTATTGTTAGACAACATACTTCCACTTCACTTAATTACAATTTAGATAAGAGTAATGCTAATCATCACTCTACTTACATGTTAATACCTAATATATAAGAATTATGATAAATTTTGAGACAAATAATATTATTATTTAGATAAGAGTAATGTTACACTTACATCACTCTTTTACACAATTTTCATTACATCATGATGTGGCATATATCACAACCACACAAATTTTTAATTATTTTAAATTTTTAATATTATAATAAAATTTACGTGGTCATAACATGTGTCACATCATGATGTTTACAAAATTGTGTAAAAAAATAATGTAAATATAGCATTACTCTTTAGATAATTATAATCTCCCTTATTTGTGAATATAAACACTTTAGTGATGAGGCCTTAATTTTTGAAACAAATGACAATCTTATGAGCCACAAATAGACATAGCCTCCATCACTAAATGTCTCTTCAACCCCATTAATTATTTATTTTACATAATTTGACAATAATACCTACATGTATTTTCCCTAAAAGTGGTTTTGTAGTATACTCTAGATTTTCTGAAGTCAATCAATTTTTTACTTACAAAGGGTTCAAACGATATACCAACACAATTTCAAAGAATAAAGTATTATGATAATGATCTTTGTTTTTTTTTTTTTCGTTTCAAAATAAAATAATTTCCGTCAAAATCCTTTTTTTTTCAAAACACAAACATTTAATCCTATTAATTTTGGTAATTCATATAAAATCCATAATTAAAGGTAATTTTAAAATTAATGTAAATTTATTTTAATAATAATATTATACTTACAAATAAATCTTACAAAAATTTCAAATGAAATAACAAAAAATGGTTGAGAAAGTGAAATAAATATTCAAACTCATTATATTTTAAATGGAAAAAGAATTTTTTTTTTTTTAGAATTTATTAATGAGAAGAAATGTGGTGTACGAGGACAACACACATCCTCTTCCTCCATTCTCCACCAGATTCAGCCACGTGTCAATTTTTTTTTTAGTTTTTTAAAGTGGGGACAAGGCAATGGAACTTTCGTTTCAGTTCGAAACTCGAAAGCAGCAATTTTCGATGGCGTTATCTCATAGTTTAAGCTTACCAACAAGAACAACAACTACTTACGTTACTCCCAAAACCCAATTCCATTTCCTCTTCAAATCTAAATTTCTTGTTCCAAAAAAACCCAGAACACTTTCCTTCTCACTCCGCGCCATGGGTGCTTCTTCTAGTTCTTCTTCCCAGAAACCGGACAACCTTCAAGGTCTTTTTCTATAAATATGTCAATTTTCCTTTTCGTTTAATTTTCTCTTAAATTCGTGTTTCGGTAGTAACCCAATTGGTCAATTTGATTTCATTTAGTAAAGACATTGACTTTTTTTTTTTTTTTAATTATCGTGCAGAGGCTGGGAGGAGGGTTGATTATGCTTCTTTGAGTGATGGCGAATGGAAAAAGCGGCTTACAGAGGAGCAGTTTTACATAACGCGGCAGAAGGGGACTGAGAGGGCTTTTACTGGGTATGAAAATTTTGTAATTCATGTTTTAAATTGGACTTCATAGCTTCCCTGTGTAGTCAGTTTTCTCTATTCTGCTAAATTATCTGCTCATTTGATGCTATGGGACCTCAGTTGTTTCATTTCTTTTCAGAGTTTTCATGCCTTCCTCATATATTGTCGACGCTGCTTGTCTTGATTATGAATTCGCCATTTAGATAAAAATATGGAGAATCCTGACAAACATGAAATTACAACTTTGAAATTGGACATGTATATCACTTGGAGCTTAATTGCCTTACATCTTCTTTTATCATGGCAGTGCTGCCGTTCTTTATTAATTCCGTTTTTTTCCTTGCTCCGGATTTATCATGGCACTGTTGTAGGCTGGCTAATTTGCCCGTGTTTTTCGGTAGCACTGTGGGTCAGTTGCCGATTCTTGATTGTTTTTTCCTTGGAAAATGCCTGTGCTTAGGATTGGATCAAACTATAGAATTAAATTTTACCAAACTTTCTTTTGCTCCCAAATTCTTTCGCATTCAGCAAGGACTTGTAATTGTAACTTTGGGCAAAGGGCCAGTCAAGAGCATACTCAACGAACAGCAAGTGCTTTCCTTGTGCGGATCCTATTTCAATGAGAACTTGATGAGTTGATCTGCCAACACATCTTGCTTTTACTGCGATATCGGGAGTTACTCCACGTATTGATTGATGTTAAACAGATAGTGAATTTTTTTCTGCCTTTTGTTGAATCTTTTTCAAGGCTCGATTGATAATTTGATAAGCCAATGATTTTTTTTTTTTTGATGTTTCAGAATTCGATTAACCAATATTTTAACTAATCGATTACAATAAGTTGGACCAGGTTTTGCAGTTTTTTCTTCTGTAGTACCTCAAGTGGTTGTATTCATCAATTGATGTATGTAACCTGATATTCTTTTTCTTCATGTTCAGTGAATATTGGAACACCAAAACCCCTGGAACTTACCATTGCATATGTTGTGATACGCCTTTATTTGAGTAAGTATTCTTTCTTTTATTCGGCGGCTTTGTGAGAAATCTGTATTGGACAGGTTTTGATAACCCTGATCAACTTTCATGCTTCTTCTAGATCATCAACCAAATTTGACAGTGGTACTGGTTGGCCATCTTATTACCAGCCATTAGGAACTAATGTGAAGTCAAAGTTAGACCTATCAATTATTTTCATGCCTCGCCAGGAAGTTCTCTGTGCTGTCTGTGATGCTCATCTCGGCCATATCTTCGATGATGGTCCACCTCCCACTGGAAAGCGCTATTGTATCAACAGGTAAATACTTTCTACCAAGTCAGGCCCTTTTACCTGCCATATATTTATCTTTATAATTATTATCTTGTATTCTCTAATTTTGCAGTGCTGCCCTAAAACTGAAACCGAAGTAGGAAACACTATCAAGCATGAATACCAGAAAGATTTCGTCTTGTGTCCTAGTCAACCGAGGTATTTTGTAGATGAACATGCATGTTCTGTGTATAGTTACTGCTCGTTTGTTTATTTTTCTTGATAATTCTCAAAAGAGAATGTGTGTGCTGGTTCAAGTTTCATGTAACTGGTCTAAGTGATCACATCACTATGAATCCAGTTAATATGCAGCCGTATACGAAAGAAAACTGATATTTTAATTACGTAGTGTTTATGCAATAAATGAATATATACTCCGTTCAAGTTGTGTATACAGAAAATTTATGTACTATTCCGATGAATTATGTCCCTGTGAAACAGCTAATGAGGATTTTGCCATTCTTTTTTGTGCTGATATTGCATTGATCTAGTACATCATATTTGTTCTTTAGATACTACGACTTTGGTAGCGACAAAACTTGTGGAATATAATATCCCAAGTAGGCGAGCTCAAAATCTTTTTTTCTTGGACTCCATATCTCAACTGCCATAAAATCTTGGTTCATGTCTTCATCAGCAACTTCTCATTCTGTCTCTCCCTTGGCCTACGTCTCTGTAAATAACTCACAAAGTTGCAAACTCCCTTCCCTCAAATCATCCAATTGAAACCACGAACTTGCCTTCATAAATATATGCCAAAACCAGTCAATTGAAAATCGCAAACCCTTTTTTTATGATTATATGCCTGCTTCTCCATGGAATAAACAGCCTTCCCTCATCAAGTTTATGAATTTATCATTTATTACAATTTACCCTTATTTTAATAAGGAATATTTATTTATTTCAATATATTTTTATGTACAAAATAACAGTAAAAACACAATTTTTAATGCATAATATTCTAAATATTTTGTCTTTTACTACTGTTAACATGTGTCTTTAGGGTACATTTTTAATAAAAAGTGGGGTTTAATTAGAGATAGCAATGGGCCCGATATTTTTGGGTACCCGGCCCGGCCCGAAAAGGTCGGGCTTTACCCGATGTTCGCAGGGCTTGGGTCTGGGCTTGATTTTAAGGCTTGACCTCAGTTACGGGCCGAGCCTGAGTATTTCTTCAGGCCCAGCCCAGCCTAGCCCGACAATTTCAGTATTAATTATACTAAATTAACCTTATACTATATATTTAATTATAAAATTATCCTACATATATATATTAATTTTTCCCAAACCCTACATGGATGGATGAATGCATTTTGTGGAAAATTATTGATATATTTGGTGAATATTCAAAAATAAATTAATATTTAAAAATTGTTTATAGAATTAAAAATATATAAAAAATTGAAATTTATTAATATTTAAAAAGTTACATTATAAAAATGGGAGGCCTTGGCCGGGCTTGAGTTATAAAAAGCTCATCGGGTCGGGCTTGGGCTTTACTTGTGATACTCGTGATGGGCTTGGGCTGGGCTTGGGCATTTGTTATGAGGTTGGGCTTAGGTCTGGGCCAAGGGGTACACGGTCCCGGCCTGACCCATTGCCATCACTAGGTTTAATGATAAAATAGGACAACTCAATAAAAATAGAAAATTTACTCCATAGAATCACTTACAAATAAATAAATAAATGATTTTCCTAAGATATGTTGCAACCTCAATTTCTTTATTCTTTTGAAAAAAAAAATTGTCATCCATCTAAACATAGAAAAAAATGTGAATATTACATGTTAGAGGACAAAGAACAGAGGAGTAAAGGAAGAGAAACTTAAAGCTGTATTATTTCATTATCAGTCATGCTTTACAAGTAAATGATCGAAGTCCTTTTAACTAAATAGTACAACTAACTTCAGTAACTAAACATGATTAAAGACAGCTAATTAAATATAGTTAATGTAACTACTTTAGCTTACTGTAACAAACTAAGCTAAGTTAACTGTAACTTACTGTAACTACAATCTCTTACTGTAACTATTATTCTCCAATACCCCCATCAAATTGGTGAGTAATAGAGATTTAGAACTCCCAACTTGCACAACAGATGATGATGAGTTCTACTGCCAAGTGCTTTCGTCAATCATCCTTTAGTTTCTCTCGAACCAAATGATAATGAATATCAATATGTTTAGTGCGCTCATGGGACATTGGATTGGAAGCAATATGGTTAGTTGATTGATTGTCACAATATAAAGTGACAGGAGCCAAATTATGAAAACCAAGACCAGAGAGCACTTGAGCAAGCCAAATTATTTCACAAACAGTTGAAGCCATAGCCTTATATTTTGCCTCAGAAGATGACTTGGAGACTGTAACTTGTCGTTTTGATTTCCAGGGCAGAAGAGAATTTCCTAGAAAAACACAATAACTAGTACCAATTTTTTTTGGTCATGAGACAAGATGCCCAATCTGAATCACTATATGCTTGTAACTGCATAGAGTTAGTAGATGGAAAAAATAATCCCATACTTGGAGTAAATTTCACATATTTGACAATTTTCAATATTGCAACATTCAAGTGTAATTGTTTGGGATTATGCATGAATTGACTTAGAAGATTCATATAATAACTCAAATCTGGTCTGGTCATGCAAAGATACAGAAGTTTCCCTATAAGTTTTTGGAAAACAGTTGGGTCAAGCAAGGGAGTTTCATCAGCAATGGGAAATAATTGATCATAAGTTTGAGATGCTGAACCAAAGGAATTACAACGAGTTTTGAAGTAGATAAACCTGTTTCAGAGATCAATTCAAAAACATATTTTCTTTGAGAGATACTAATACCTTTATTAGACCTGACCACTTCAATGCCCAAAAAATACCTTAATAATCCCAAGTTTTTAATCTTAAAATGTAAGTGAAGCAATTGCTTGGTGTGATTAATTAAGTCCAAATGAATGCCTGTTAAGACTATATCATGCACATATACAAGTAACATCACCACTTGAGAGCCATTTCTCTACTGAAAATAACGTAATATGACTTGGACTAATGAAAACCTTTAGAGAGAAGTCATGACCAGGTGAGTTTAGAATGCCAAGCTCTAGAAGCCTGTTTTAACCCATATAGAGATTTATGGAGTTTACACATCAAATTTTTTCCAAGCTGTTTGACAAACCCTTGTGCCAGATTCATATAAATCTCTTCATGCAAATCTCCTTGTAAAAATGCATTGTCTACATCCATATGGTAGAGAGGCCTATTATTCATGGAAGCTAGGGTTAAAATGGTCCTAACAGTAACCGTTTTGACAACTAGTGAGAAAGTTTCTTCATAGTCTATCCCAGCCTGTTGAGTATACCCTTTGGCAACTAAACGTGCCTTGTATTTTTCTAAGGAACCATCAGCTCTATACTTATATTTATACACCCATTTATAGCCTATAGGAATCTTACTAGGAAGCAAAGTAACCAAGGACTATGTAGCATTATTTTCTAAGGCTTGAATCTTCTTTTTCATGGCTTCAACCCAATGTGGATCTTTAGAGGCTTGGTGAAAGCTAACAAGTTCAGCAAGAGAAGAAATTTTGGAGAGGCAAGCTTGATATCTAGGTGGTAGATGATTATAGGATAAAAAATCTTAGATAGGATATTTAACAACAATGGCTATTGGTTTTTGTGAAATGGTAGGACATATGAAATCAGATGTCTAGATTGGAGGCTTAGAGACCCTAGTAGATTTTTGAGGGGTCCAAAAAGTAGATTATAAGGTGATGATGATGTAGTAATAGGCTGATCAACTGATGGTGAAGCAATATTTGGTTCTGCAATTTGAATAGTTTGTATTTCTCTATCTTGAGTGTAAGGAGATGCAGAGAATGTAGGATCAGAAAATGGTTCTAAATCCATATAGGATTCAAATGAAAACATGTTTTGAGAGGATTTAGGCCAGGTAAATGGACATATATGTTCATAAAAGATAACACCCCTTGTAACCTGAACAATATGTGATTGCAAACAACAAATACCCCCTTTTTTTTTTTTTTTTTTTTTAAAGAATAACCTATAAAAACACAAGTAGTGGATCTAGGAGAAAATTTGTCTTTTGAAGAGAGAATAGTAGAATAAGCCAAAGAGCCAAAAACTCTAAGATGACCTAATGTAGGTGCTTTGCCAAATAATTTTTCATAAGGAGAAATACCTTGAAGGACTACAGGTGGAAACCTATTGGTTAGGTAAATTGCAGCCTGTACACAATATCCCTAGAAATTACGTCATTAGATTGAAACTTTAGGGCTCTTGCTACTTCTAAGATATGCCTATGCTTTCTCTCAACGATACTATTTTGATGAGGAGAATAGGTACAAAAGCTTTGATGAATAATGCTCTGACTAGTTAGTAAATCATGACAGTTTTGATTAAAAAAAAAAAAAAACTCTAAACCATTGTCTATTCTAATGCATTTGGGAGTGATATGAAACTGATTATGGACCATTAACAATAATTGTTTAATTGTTTGAAATGCATCTGATTTGAATTGTATGAGAAATAATAAAGTAATCTTGGAAAATCAATCTACAATGGTAAGAAAAAATCTAGCATTGTCATGAGTTGGCATCTTATATGGGCCCCAAACATCAATATGCAAATTTTCAAAAAAATGATTAGTGGTAGAATTACTCAAGGGAAATGGAACTCTAGTTTGTTTGGCTAATGAACAAACTTTACAATGACGTGGATTTAAAATAGGTAGATTTTTTACCATGAGTTTCAACACTGAATTGGGTACATGTCCCAACCTTTGGTGCCAAATTTTAGGATTACTATATGATGAACAAGCTGCAGAAAGAAAATCAGACTTTTTATTCAACTTTGAAACGGAGTTTACAACTAGATTGAAACAATCTTTATTACAAACTGTACTATTTATCATATCAAGATCTGATACATTGGAATTCATTTTCAAAAAAGGTACAAAGTAATAAAAGCCTTGGCTTTTTCTACCAATTCCCTTGAACTTTTCACTCCGGAGATCCTAGATTAAGCAAAAATCAGGATAGAAAGTGATGGAGCAATTGTTGGAAGTTTTTGACATTGAAAGTAGGTTATATTAAAAATCCAGCAAATGTAAAACATTTTGTAGATGAATATTATTATCCAGTTTGATAGAACTAGTATGCTTAATTGAAGTTTTGGTGCCATTAAGAAGTCCTACAGATGAATTAATGGGTGAATTAATAATAACAGGAGATTCTAAACTAGAAAATTTACTAGTCATATGATCAGTAGCACTTGAATCTATAATCCAATCATCAATTTCATCATGGCATCAGAATAAGGAAGTGATGTTACCTGCAAGATTAGTTGGTGGTGTAACATTTTCCTTCCCCAATAATTGCAGAAGCTAAACATATTGTTCTACTGATAAGATTGTTCCAAGAGATGCATTTGGAGTTGAAGTTTCTAAGGACAAATTGGTGAGCTAAGACTTTATTCTTTACATTGTTCTTCCCTTTAAAATTAGCAAGGTAACCATGTAGTTTGTAACAAGTCTCCCTTTTATGCCCAAGCAGGTGACAATATTACACTCAAAATGTGGCCTTTTCCCTTATATTTTGAACTTTGATTCCGAGTTCTTTGAGAATTTTGTGCATAAAGGGTTGTAGGAACCTCTGTATTGGTGCTAATTCTAGATAATACATTTTGACTCTCATCTTGATTCACCACTAGATAGGCTTGTTTCACAAAAGGTAATGGAGACATCAAGAGAATTTGCCTACGCACCATGGAGTACGAATCATTTAGTCCCATTAGAAATTGCAGTAACTACTATTGATTTAGATGATCAAGATAAGCCCCAACGGATGCACTATTTGGAGGTGGTAAGATAACCAAAGAAGTTAGCTCATCCCAAAGTGATTTTAGTTTGTTGTAATAAATCGCTATTGTAGATGTTCCTTGAGTAAGATTAGCTATCTCTCGATGAATCCCATAGACTCTTGTTCCATTCACCCTATGATAATGTTCTGGTAAATCTTGCCATACCTGATAAACATTGGTTGAGTAGACGATTCCATTGAAAATCTCTTTTGATACCGTATTGAAAATCCAAGCTAATACCAAGGAATTACACCTCTCTCATTGTGCATTCAAAGTAGAATCAAATAAAGGATTTTCACATGTTCTATCAACAAACCTTGACTTGTTCTTAGCTCGTAGAGAAGCAGTCATCGCTCAGCGCCATATATGATAATTTTCTTTACCAATTAGTTGTTTTGTCACTAATACGGAACCTAACGTATCTGATGGATGAATATATTCTCTGTTTGAACTTCCCATTATTAAAGATCAACTCACAAACTGACGATTTCAAGCTAAAAGAAAAAGGAAAATTTGAAGATAGATTTCAAATGGAGCTGATAATGAAGCTCGAAAGCTTTAATTGGTCAAGAAAGAGAAAACTGGAAGCTATTGCTCTGATACTATGTTAGAGGACAAAGAACAGAGGAGTAAAGGAAGAGAAAGTTAAAGCTGTATTATTTCATTATCAGTCACACTTTACAAGTAAAGGATCAAAGTCCTTTTAACTAAACAGTACAGCTAACTTCAGTAACTAACCATGATTAAAGGCAACTAATTAATTATAGCCAATGTAACTACTTTAGCTTACTGTAACAAACTAAACTAAGTTAACTGTAACATACTGTAACTACAATCTATTCTTGTAACTATTATTCTCCAATATTACATCTCAATTTTAGATGTCAATTTAAGTGGTCAATACAGTGTTTATATTAAACAAAGTTGGAATACAAGTATACAATGCTTGTTATATCTCAACTCATAAGACAACTTATTATACAGTAAAACATTTCTATAGTTATAGTGGTGAGATCAAACTAATTTATTACTATAAGGAGGTTATAACTTAATAGAGATATAGTTACAAAAATTATTATTTTAATTTCTTATTTAATAATTCACGTTTTAATAATATGTATTACAATTTCAATTCATTTTTTAATAGTCATTATTGCAATTAGACAAGAAAATAAATGAAATAATCTTGAGGATGATAGTACGAAAATATAAAAAAGTTTCGTGTGAGAAGCTAGAAATATTTTGGCTTCAATAAGAAGGTGTCCATGCTAACGAGCTATTACGTATTCGCAAGTTAAAAGATGTGGCAACAACTCTAAAGTATAAATAATTATCCCAAACAACTTCAAATAAAAATTTTATTTTATCTTAAACTTTTAATATAATATATATACGTGTGTGTAAAGATAACTTTTTTAAAACATGAATTAGAAAAATTATAACTTATTATAATGTGAAGTTTATTGTTATTTATAATTATCCTAAATTCGAACAAAAATTTTCTAAATATTGTGAAAATGTTTTGATGTAATAAAAATAATAGTTATATTAAATAAATGATCACATCCATTAAAGTACAAACATTTAATATGATATGACTCGTAAAGATAAGATCTCAGCTGCCACGGTTGTGATGCCCATGAATTATATTTGTTACCAAACATGAGTTCCCTATTCAATACGGTGGGCATTCAGTGAATGATCATTTATGTACTTAGCACGAATTTTAGAAATCGAAGGACATCTCAAAATTTTCCCTAGAAAATAATTTTTTTCCTGTTAAAGATAATTTTTTTAATAAGACACATGACATGTCATAATAAGCTAATAATGAAGAGTTGGAATTAATAGAGTGACGAAGTGGGTAGTGGCTTGGAAAGTGTAATTCGCCATGAATGGCATTCAATGCTTCACCACCTACCTCACCTAAACTCCATTAATATGTTACATCACTCTTCTTCTTCTTCAAGTACCTTCAGCTAGCAAGTTTCTCTACTTCTTCTTATTGCATTTTCACCAAAAGATTATTCGTTTAGAGTGATTTTATACAATATTTTCAGTTGAATTTGAAGATTACGATGGAGAAGATAGAGAAGGGAAACAATGGCGCCCCTATTGGCCAATCTCCACTGCCGATGCTGCAGGGATCCAGGGATGAAGACGATATGCCGGCGGTGCGGACGGCGGAGCCCTTGGCAAGATTGGTGCCAATGGCTTTATGTGTTGCGGCCCTGGTGGTCATGCTAAAAAATTCTGAGACTAATGACTTCGGCTCTCTTTCCTATTCCGACCTTGGAGCTTTCAGGTTTATATTTAGATTTATTTTGAATTTTACTTGCTTTTTATTTATGCTTATGCATTAATTTAAATTTTGATATTTTTATTTGTTGTTTCAAATTTAAAATTCTGTATATTAGATGAAGAAGGTTGAAATTGAAAATTGAAGCTGTATCAATACATCGTAAACTTTATAAATTTTGTAATTTAAAAACATAAAACTTAGAATATGCATTTTATGCATATATAAATAAAATTTATTAGAAGAGGCTGAACAGAAAACTTATTATTCATTTGGAAAGTTTTATTTTAATCAAGAAAATATATAATTGTATCAAATAATGTTTACCGATGATGCAGGTATTTAGTGCACGCCAATGGGATTTGTGCTGGTTATTCTCTTCTTTCAGCTATTATCGCAGCCATGCCTCGCCGCTTCACCATGTCTCAAGCCTGGACTTTCTTCTTCCTTGACCAGGTAATTACTGTTATGTCAAGGTGTTGCGGTAGTTTCTACAGTCCTTATTCTGTCATGTTATTTTGTTTGTAAACTTGAGTCAGATCGGTGTTAAGAAAGAATCATAAACTTGAGTCAAATTGATGTCAATACAGTAGTATGCGTCACGTGCACTAGCTGTCAGTTTTTCTAAGAACAAGAGTAATACTAATAATGTTCAAAAAATTTATTTGTTAGGGGAGTTTATGTCAAAATTAAGAGTATCAGATAATCTTAGAATACTTAAGGAAATAGTGGTATTCAGATTATCATAAGATTATCGGAATCTTATATTATTTGATAACCAAATATGATAATATCAATAAAATAAGATGACATAACTCTTGAATTACGTGATATTCTCCCAATCAAACACCCTTAAAATCGAATAAAAAGTGAGTCTTCTAGGAGCCACGAAGCAGAGAAAATAAAAAGAAAGAAAAGAATTCTAAAGAATCAAATACAAATCAAACAAAAAGGAATCAGCAAACAATTACAACGACTTTTGGTACATTTGTTGTCCCAATCAAGATTTAGTCTCCTAACCAAATTATGCATATGGGCTCAGGTGCTGACTTACTTGATTTTGGCTGCCGGAGCGGTGGCAGCCGAGGTGCTGTACCTGGAACAAAAGGGAGATTTAGCCATCACCTGGAGTGCCGCTTGCGGCACATTCGCCGGATTCTGCCACAAAGCCACGGTCTCAGTAATCATCACATTTGTTGCAGTAGCTTGTTATGCAGTGCTTTCACTCGTCTCCTCTTACAAACTCTTCAGCAAATATGATGCTCCCGTCACCTATCCAACCACCAAAGGCATTGAAATCCCTGCAGTTTTCCATATCTGATCTCATCATCCATCCCCTCAGTTTCAGGCACCCATAAATACTATCTATAAAATAACAGCAAAGATGTGCACTTTCTGCAATGTGTTTAATTTAATCCCACGAGTGCTCCATATATGTGTTTAATTTCTCTGTGTTTTTACATGCTTTCCCCATTTACTTTAATGTATTTATATATATATTTGGTGTCAAATGTGCGTCCGATTTGCTAGCTATTTGTACTCTATGAACATAATCGGAAACTATCTAATTGTCAAGTTCTTTGTTTATATTGAACTTGACAATATGCGAATAATTATCCTTAATTATTTTCTTCATTGTCAAAATTTGACTTCCAATCTAAATTAATTTAACTTCTCAACTAGAGCGTCATTGGGGGCCAATGTGCCACCCCGGGTCCAACAATTTTAAAAAAAATTTATATAAAAATATAATACTCTTAAATATTAACTTTTTAACCTTTTGGCCACCTCGGATATTTGAGTTAGCTTATGCGCACCTCAACTAATTCCCTGAGACCTTGAAACTATCAAACAGGTAAGAGCTCTAGTTGTTTCTCTTATTAACAACTGATGAAGGATTCGAACTCATGACATCTTGAGTAAGTAATACACTTAAGAGTTCCTATCGAACTACTTGACGACTTAGAGTTAGAGGTGGTTTTTGGCCACCTATTCACTGAACCTGACATTTTAACCACCATTTGTGCAACTTTCTAAATTAATTTTTTTACACTCTAAAACCCACTATTCGCCAAAGATGACACTGCGGCCTCCCCAAACAAAAAAATACAAGATGATATATATATTGGGTAAAGATATTGTCACTTAAATTTTAACTTAAATATTTTGACACTCATTTTTATTGATCCAACGGCGATAAACAAAAAAAAGTTAAAAAAGATAGGTGTACTAAATACCAATTTATCATCTCTTATCACCGCTGGATAAACAAAAGTAAATGGTAATCAATAATTTAACTTAAAGTATCCAACCATATATGGACAATGGATATGTTACTTTGTGTTATTAAAAATCTCTATGATTAGTTTATTTACCTTCTCTAATATTTAACAGAACTAATTGGACAAAGAGCGGACTTCAAATTTTTTTAACCAAAATACATATTTGGGAGAAAGGTTCACAGTTTTTAGTTGAAAACCGTTGATGCTTGATTTTGTCGTAAGTGCAAAGTGCTAACCGGGTCTTAGAAGTTACACATGATTAATTTGACAGTTTGGATAAGGTCATAGTAGCATGCAAAGACTACATAATAAATGAGACAATGAGAATTTTATAGTGGTTTGGATGTTTAAAGCGATTCCTACATCTATTGTTTTCTTTTATATAAGGGTTCTTGGTTATAAGCCAAGTTATAAGAGGTCGCAAACTGCGAGCAGAATTATAAGAGCTTGGTTTTCAGAGAGAATATCAAGCTAGTGTCTTTCCCGTAGGTTGTCTTTGCTATTTGTTTTTTTGAAAATCAGAGATCCCGATTTTGTGAGGGGAAGTTGACAAAAGCTTGAAAATACATATTTTTTTAGTGATTCAATTGGATTATTTGTGGAAAAATGTGTTATATTTGTGAAATTTAACTTAATTATTTCATAAATGTCTTTTATGGGGTCACGGGTATGTTTCGAGTGTTTTTCAGGTTCTTAAAGATGATATTCAAATGAAGGTTATATCGACGATGGAATGTGGGATGACAAGAATCAAATGGTTCGTGATTCGGAGCTGAAACGAAGAAGTTAGGGCGATTTGAAGTTAAAGTGAAAATCCTGGAAAACACTCCAGTTTTGAACATGCAACAGTAATTCGACAATAACTTGAGCTGTAGATTTTTGATTGAGATGATTCTTGAACCGTTAGAACGCTGATTCAAAGGGCTACAATTCATATGTTTACCACTTGGAAATATTCGAAAGTTATCATGCTCAAAAACCACCATCTTGTCAAGATTTTGCGTTTTGGGGCAAAATCAACTATGCCTAGGCACAGTACTGCTGCACAACTGCGAATCTAGGTTTTTTAAGATTAAATTTATGACGTGTATTTCCTGTTTTAAAAGTTCTAAAGTGATTAGGATAGTGGGAATCATAACCCTAAAACCCTAGGAGTATAAATAGATGTTTTTAGTTGATTTTTAGTAGAAGGGGGAAGGGAGAGAAGTTCCGCTGCTGTTTGGAGATTGGAAATTGGAAATTTCTACAATTTTTAGTCATCAATTAGAGAAGTTTTTCTACTCTTTCTTATACTCATGTTTATGAATACAATGACTTTTATTACTGAAAGTATGAACTAATTTTATTTTCTAGGGCTAAGATGTAGCCCAATTTTATGAATATGCATTGAATTAATTGTGCTAATTTTATTAAGTTTTGTTTTAAGTTTTATTATTGTGCTTAAAACTTCAATTCTAAAGGCCCTAGAGTTGAATGATTTTAGAGGTTAGGTTGAGATCGAAGATGAAACCTAATTAGTCTAAGGTAATAAAACCATAGATTGAGCGAACGCTGAGATAGGTTACCGCGATCGTTGAGGCTCTGGTAAATTCCATAAACTTAATGACTCCAATTGCTTAAATCTGATTAGAGATAATTCGGGTTAGTAATTAGGATTTAATTTGTTAATTGTTCGGAGAAATTAGCGAAATATTAGAGAGTTTGGTCTTTAGAATGCTTATTTGGTTAACGATAATTGTCAATGCATTGGATTAAATTGGTGTGAAATCTATGCCCTAGGTTTAGTCATATTGATTTCCTACTAAAATGTTATAGTCGGTTTTTTGTTTTGTGTCTAAGTTGTTTTATTTTCCATTGAATCATTCTGAAATCCAATTGATCAAAATGTAATAGATAGTTTAATTGGTAATTGATAATTGTAATTCCCTTGGGTTTGATATCCGTATTTTACACAATTATTACTTGGACGATTTCGTATACTTGCGAAAATCACAACAAGTTTTGGGCGTCGTTGCCGGGGAATTGTTTTTATATTATCAATATCAATACAGCTATTTAGTTGCTAATTTGGTTTGTATTTATTTTTTTTTTATTTTTTGTTTTGTTTTTAGTGCTTTAATTTTTATTTATGTATTTTTAGTGTTGGACCATAGAGGAGTTCGTTTCAATGACATACAGAAGGAGAAGAGTTCAAAAGGCACTTAAGGATTACTCAAGACCTACAATTGAGGGATGTGCTTCTAGTATTAGGAGACCACCGATTCAAGCAAATACCTTCGAATAAAGCCAAACATTATTCAGATATACACATTCAATTCAATTTGCGGAGTTGTCTAGCGATGATCCTAATTTGCATATCGCAAATTTTCTGGAGCTATGCGATCACATTCCGACATAATGGGGTATCTGATGATGCAATTAGGTTAAGGCTTTTCCCATTCTCTCTTCGGATAAAGCTAAGTCTGGTTAATTTCTCTACCACCTAGAAGCATCACTACTTGGAATGAGTTAGTTCAAGTGTTCCTTGCGAAGTGTTTTCTACTGATTAAGTCTGCCAAGTGAGAGTGACATCAACAATTTTTTCCAGCAAGATAGGATCACTTTACGAAGCTTGGGAGAGATATAAGGATCTCTTACGGAGGTGTCCTCACCATGGGTTACCAATATGGTCGCAAGTGCAAACATTTACAATGGGTTGATTCCAATATACAAGCCATGGTAGATGCTGCAAGTGGGGGAGCCTTGAATACAAAACACCGGAGGAAGCCTATAATTTGATTGAATTGATGGCAAGTAATAACTACATGAGGCCTCAAGAGAAATTCAACAGGAAAGTAGCGGGAGTGCCGAAGTTGATGGCTACACCACGTTGGTTCTCAACTTTCAACCATCCAAAAGCAATTAGGAGTTGCCCTAAAGGTAAATGCTATTGATACTCGTTCTCTAACTTGTGAATTTTGTGCGGGAATCATTTGTCAAGAGATTGTCAAGTAGGGAATCCATTTTCTCAATCTAGCAAGCAAATTATGTCAACAATTTTCAAGAGAGCAACGAAATCCATACTCTAATACATATACTCCAGCATGGCGAAACCATCCAAACTTTTCGTGGAGCACAACATGAGCAAAAATAAGCTCATGTTTTTCAACCTCAAGAGCCAAAATCTATTTAGAGAATGTGTTGACCAAGTTCATTGAAGAGACAAGTAAGAGTGTGAGAAGACTGACGTCCTGGTTCAAAATCAATCAGCCTCTATTAGGACCTTGAGAATCAAATTGGGCAAATCCACAATATTTAGCAGAAAAGTTCAAGGAACGTTGCCAAGTGATACCGAGAAAAATCCGAAGGAGCAACTCAATGCCATCATGTTGAGAAGTGGTAGGAGCTGAAAGAATCAAGAAAAGCTGAGAAACTGAGAAAAGCGGAAGACCGAAATTGGATAGAACCAAAAATGCCTCAACACAATGCCTAGGCACAAAATCCAGAATGAACAATGCCTCAACACGATGCCTAGACACAAAACCAAACTTGAGAACAAGCCCAAGATGTGAAGAAAGATGAAGCCTCTTTCCGTTCTCCTTAGACTACAGAAACAAAGATTAGACAAGCAATTTGGTAAGTTCTGGATATGTTTAGAAGCTTACACATAAATACTTTTGTAGATATGTTGGAGCAAATGACGAAGTATGCCAAGTTCTTAAGGGAGATCCTTACACAAAAGGGTTTTGAAGAACATGAGATGGTCATGCTTACCGAGGAATGAGCGCGTTACTTCAAAAGAAACACCACTGAAATTAAGAGATCCAAGGAGTTTTAATATTCCTTGCACAATTGGTAGTTTTTATTTTGATAAAGCTTTATGTGATTTAGGAGCCACATTAACTTGATGCCATTTTCTATTTTCAGGAAACTTGGTTTAGAGAGGTGAAGCCAACCACGATTCATCTTCAAAATTGGCGGATAGATCCATATCATATCCTAGGGGAGTAGTGGACGATGTCCTAATAAAAGTAGACAAATTTATCTTTCCAGTAGATTTTGTAGTTCTTGATATGGAAGAAGATCGGAACATACCTTTAATATTAGGAAGGCCTTTTCTAGCTACAAGTAGGACTTTAATAGATGTACACCAAGGTAAACTAATCTTAAGGGTGGAAGACGAACAAGTGGAGTTCAATGTTTTCAACATGATGAAATGTCTACCCGAGTCAGATACTTGCTTTAAGATTAGCATCCTTGATGACAAAGTAGCGGAAACCTTAGAAGAAAACTACCTTAGCTCACCCCTAGAAAATTGTTTAGTCAACTCTAGGATTATGGAGGCTAAATTTGAGAGGGTAG